GATTTCTCTGATTTTATTTTAAAAAGCATAAATTAAATCGGTCTTTTCTGGCCGAGAAATTAGGGGATGATTCAGTTGTTGCTGATTCACAGATAGCGGATGTGTGATTAAATAAAATGATGAGAGGTCTCGATGTTGTTGCTAATTCAGTCATCTAGCGGAGTTTAGATGACGACCACAGACTCTTCTAGACAGTCCAGTGGAACGCTGACAGGCTCGCCACCTGTAGGTGTTATTGAACTTGGGTGTTGCTGATAATGACAGAAATTTACATTATCGTCTTCTTCATAATTATCGTTCCCGTCACTACCCTCTACCCCTGATTTAGGAAGACCGATAGTAAAAGATGGAGTCCAACCATGAGTTTCTTTAAATGGAACTTGGAACACTGCCTCATCAACATTAATCTTCACCACCTCCGATATGATCTCTTGACAATACGTCAAGATACAAACCCGATTCTTATACACATCTTCCCCTAGACTATCATCAAGTTGTACAATAACACCCCATTTAGCACTAATTTTCCGAAACGCATCTTTACTCCATGCATGTAAAGGAAGACATTCAATATCAACCCATACTAAACGTTCCAAATGCACAAAATTTCTATCCCAAACAATTTTTTCCGAGAGCCAATTCTCCATCGCCTCATTAGCCAAGAAATTTTTACGCATATCTTTATTTTTGAACTCAACTTCACCCATCGACCTCCTACATAACGTATCTCAAAATCATCAAACCCTCCTCTAAGCATAACATACGAAGGCTAGTGAGAGTATGGAAGTCTCTAACTTTAGCTAGACAAACAAGCTTCTTTTTTTTCCACAACAAATCCTTGGAACTAATTTCAATAATTTCCTCCACCGGTTCTTTTCCTCGTTTATGCATGGGTGATCCCCTAACAACACTTGCATACAAATTAATCAGGACTTCTTGTTTTTCAACCTTAGATGGAATCATATTATGTGAAGAAAGACAACCTTTCCTTGGAAATTTCAGGAAATATGCAAATAACTTATGATACCCAAACCAAATATCACACAATTGTTTAGTTATATGATCCGAATTACCAATACCCGAGAACCTTACAAAGCCATACCGTTTTCCCATTTGACATCTGTTAATCATTCACTGTTTTTCCCAAATGAGCACAAACACGCTACAAATCAATCCTTAAATCGGGATCAGGGAATTTTGTAACGTAGAAAGAAGAACCCTCTAAACTTACGCGCTATTGATTGCGTCCCACATACCTTTCTTGGTGTCCTCTATAATTCCTTCTATACCTCCAGTTCTTGTTCCAGCCCTCACATTCATCAATCTCGATTCCATGTTGCTCGATAAACCGTGTAAAAAATCCCCAACCCCCGGACGATGATCAGAATTGATCAAGAAGTCTCGCAGATACGTCGTTGTAGGTAGGGCTTTTTTAGTTGACTATGATACATATTATTAAATATAGTATATCCATATTTCAAGTGTTGAAGCAATAAAATGATGATAGTTTATATCTAACAATATACCAACAAGTTGGACTAGTGGTGACCGGTATAACCGTAGGAAACACTCCAAAGTGGAGTTAACTCTGATTGGAATCCCACAGACTTCAACTTTGGAGTGACGTGGTGTTCATAAAAAAATACATATTTAAATTAATAAATATAGTATATTAGATTGAAGGGAAATCTCCAGAAAAGTCCTAAAATTTTACCATAATTTACGAAAAAGTCACAAAGTAAAATTTGTTTACGAAAAAAACATGAAATACCAGTAAAAATGGCGATTTGACCCATTTTTCCCGGTTTACCGGTTTCATTAAAGTCTCATTATATTACATTAATTTACGAATAAGTCCCAAACTAAAATTTGGTGATGATTTAGCCTTTTTCTCCATGTAACATAAATTTTACCGGTTTCATTGTTGACCTGGATGCCTAGTCATTAAATGAGCTGGTGAGATGGATATGCTGGGTTATATAATGTTATGTTTACCATAAAACTTGATATCTTGATATAATGTATATTTTTTTTTGGAATATAAAATGTATCTAATGAAGACTGCAATAATTACATAAAGTAGCAACAACTACGTCATTTTTTACGTTTGTAAGAAATTTCAAATAGTCTATCTAACCTTATGTAACCTAATATATCCATCTCATCAGACACCAACTCATTTTCTGTCTTTTTTTTTTTTTTTTCCGGAAACACACATTTTATTGGCTTCATTGCTAACCTAGATAAATAGTCATAAATGAGTCAATGAGATGGATATCAAATTTTATAGTAAATGTAACATTATATAACCCATCTTATCCATCTTATCAGCAAATTTAACGACTAGATGTCTAAATCAACAATGAAACTGATAAAATGTATGTTACATGGAGAAAATGACTAAATCATCACTAAATTTTAATTTGGGACTTATTCGTAAATTAGAGTAAAATAATGGGACTTTAATGAAATATGTAAGTAATGAAACCGGTAAACAGGGAAAAATTGGTCAAATCGCCATTTTTACTGGTATTTAATGTTTTTTCGTAAACAAATTTTAGTTTGTGACTTTTTCGTAAAAATGATAAAATTTTAGGACTTTTCTGAAGATTTCCTTTAGATTGAATGTTGAATAGTTAGCATTAAAATTAAAATAATAAATAAGTTTCATATATTAGAAAATTCAATTTAGGATAACTGAAGATAAGTATTTATTTTGGAACAAATGATAATGGTGGCCTTTTTATAAGGTAGTAGGCGTATGTCTGCTCATTATACGAGATTACAATTGTCCGGTAAAAATACTAATAGTTGTATATATGTTGTTTACCATAAGTCAGTCGTTGTATTATTAAAAATTCTCAGGATTTTTTAGGTTAAAAAAATTATATTATCATTGGACTAAATAAGATGTTATTAAGAAAGACGATATTTATTTAAAAGATTAAATACATTATTTAATATACATAAATTGGTGCATGAAGAAATGGAGAAAGAGGTCCAAATGTTCAAGTCAAAGTTGCAGAAATATACAGAAAAGGGAAAAGATTTGAAGAAGCGGTCGAGTGTGCACAACAGCACAAGTCTAAGCTAAGCAAAGGTAGTTCATGTTGCTTCCATGTAAAATGAGAATTGTTAGCCCAATGTAAATGGTAGGATTGTATTTTCTTATGATGTTTGCCTTGGTAAACTGGTTTGTTGGTGTTGTTTTGTAATCTAATGCAATGTAATGTCATGAATCAGTGGAAATGCGCACATGATGTTACTGCTTGTTTTGTCACATGCTACAACATACATTAGCAAAAGCTTGTTCAAGAGGCTGCTGCTATCAAGCCATGTAGCATTAAGAACTTATCAAGTTGGTATACCTTAAGAGGCTGCTAGCATGAGTAATGAAAATAGCATACATTATCTCAAATCATGAAACATTAATTAGGTAATTACAAAAAACAAAAAAAATATATCTTGCATGTTAGATCTTTAAGCTTTATCAATTTACCAAACATATATACTGTCTACAAAAAACATATCAAAATCAAAATAGAATAATAAAATGCAAAAAAGATTTAAGCATCTTAACATGCAAAATAAAATGTCACCAGGCTTCATCACTGTCTTTGTCAGAAAAACGCCTTCCTAATCTTCATCTTCACCACTTGCGAGACTCCCTAAGTTTCTTCAGAATCACAGCATGATGACCACTGAGACTAGTCATCTGATGTAGTGCAAAAGTTTGTTGGGTAGTATGCAACTGTCCAACATAACCCACTGCATCATCTTGACCAACATCTCTGGCATCATGAACACCTTCACTTTGAACCCCTGCATCATCTTGACCCACATATGGTTCTTGAAACCCTGCAAGGTCAAAATGGTCAGTTTGACCATTTAGGTCACTTAGGTCATCTGGACCACTCAAAAGTGAAAAATATGAACATCTTGAACCCTGCAACAGTTTTTTGTTCAAAATGGCCATTTTTACCATTTTGGTCCATCTCATCTGGTTAAAGTTAAACAAATTGAAATTTAAAAATGATTAATCTGGAAAGTTATCAAACTTATATTATATATATCTGGAAAGTTACCTGTAGGTTTCGAACCTAGTGTGTGCATAACAAGAGGCTTGGCTTTCATCTGTTCTAGCAACCCCATGGCATCATCCATTTTCCCTAGTTTACATGCAGCATCAATCGCAATACTAAACGAGACCCCATCAAGGAAAACCCTTGATTGCTGCTTAAAATGCTTGAACACGTACAGAGCTTCATCAAGCATGCCCAAACCGCACAAGTATTGCATCATCCACCTCACATACCCATGATCGATTGTTTGAATACCTCTTGATTCCATTTCCTTACAGAGAACCAATGCCTTAACAATGTCCCCTTTCTCACAATAGCCTCGAATTAATGCGCCATAACAACGTGCATCTGGGACAACTTCTCTAAGCTTCATTTCATGAAGCAACACATCTTCTGCATCTTGTAGCTTCGACTCTTTTATAAAACCTCGAATGACACAAGCATATGAAAAAACATCAAGCAGCGGCTTATTCAATTTCTTTACAACCTGAAAGGCTAAATCAGTTTTCCCATTGCAGCAAAGCACATGAATATACCTACTATAAATGAAAGCATTAGGTTCGATTCCAGCCTCTTCCATTTGTCCAAACACGTCCCAAGCTTCTTTCAAACAACCCTTCCTACCATGTCCTCTAATCAGCATCCCATATGTATACACATTCGGAATCAACCCATTCCTCTTCAGTTCTCTGTAAACCGACTCTACCATATCCTCTTTGTCCCACATGATCAACTTGTTCAATACAAAATTACACGTTTCTGTTGACACCACAAGTCCACCCCTACTTTTCATCTCGGACAAGGTGTACATGGCCTCCTCAAACTTTCCAACACTTGCATACACCTCAACCAACCCATCAACAGCTTTTATTAATTTTTCCTCCATCAATGCGTCAAACAGTTTATCAGAAATTTCAAAATTAACAACTTCCCAATTTGTATTATCAATAACATCATTAAGCAAATTATTTAACCTTACATCCATACTCCCCCAATCCCAATGACACAACAATCGAACAACTGACATGTAAGTTTCTAAATCATGTTTAAAACCAGACTCTTTCAATTCACGGATAAATAACAAAGCGCTGCTCCGTTCACTTTCTAACTGCTTCAAGGTTTCATTAATAACCTTAAACTTACTCTTACTGACCGGATGACTGGTATCCGAAGATGAGTCCACCACGTCGGAGCATGTTGTATAGGCAAGCGATATAACAGACTTCCAACGGAAGTTCCAGGAACATTTTACCAAATTACAGCAAGAACCCAACCTGATAAAAGGAGGAGGCGGCGGCGGCATAGCGTTTCAGATTCCAAACCAATCGATTTTGGAATCGAAAACCCAACACTCATAAAAATAAAAATACGTGGGGTTTGACTCATTAAAAAGCTTGGATGACGGTGGACCGGATCGGACCAGACTTTTTTTCGAACCCTCGGATCTATTATAGGATTTCATCAAAACCGTCCGGTCTTTTTAATGGTTCGGTCCGGTCTAATTTTAAAAAACAATTAAATATATTCTTTTTTAAACAGAAATCTCTCATTCGTTTTGGGTCGGAATGACATGCCGTTTTTTTCAACGTGTAATTTAGAGTTTGTAAATGAGTTTAAACTATAATTTTATCGTTTGTTGTGGTATATTCAATAAATTACATTCCTTCAAAGCTGGGATATCAAAGCTGAAATATTTCAACTTTTCAACTATTATTTAAAACATTTGTATTCTGTGAAAATAATTAAACAATCATAACTCATTCGTTTGAATTCGGATTGACATGCGGTTTTTTTCCAACATGTAATTTAGAGTTTTTATGTGAGTTTAGACTATAAGTTTGTCATTTTTGGTATTATATTCAATGAATTATAATCTTTCAAAGTTAGGATATCAAAGCTGAAATATTTCAGTTATTTTTTAGACTATATTACTTTTTATTAAATACTAACAACATTTTCATTTTGTGTTTATGTAAAGATTACGCAAGCTTTAAACATGTTTAATTTAGATGACAAAGATATGGAGAAGAGGTTAATGGAAGATTAGATTATGACGTTTGTTAGTTGGATTGATTTTAAAGTTTAAACTATGATTTTTGGTGTTACGGTAATTACTTTTGTATGTTTGTGTTAAGAATCTTAACTTTTGTTGGTGAAGTTGATTTATATGTTAGTTGCATTTATTTGAAAACTTAATTTTGCAAGTTATAATATTATAGATAAAATTGGATTAGTTATGCATGAAATGCGATAAAGTAAAAAAGTATTCATTTTAACGTATCAAACCAAAAAACGTATTCATTTTAACGAGTTATAACATATAAAATGCATCAACATATTCATTTTAACGAGTTGTAGCAAACCCAAAAATGCGTTTTAACGAGTTGTATCATATGTCTGTACAGTTGTACCGGTCCAAGAACCGAAAAACCCAGACCAAGACCTAGACCCGGTAAGCCTCGTCTGGTCAGGTCCACGGTTCACAATATTCTCCGAAACCAGTTTGGTCTAGTCAAAATGTCCACCCTGATTCAAAGTACATGAATTGTTTGTAACATATCAAATCATCAATGGGCCCACAGATATCGCTTTTCCTGTTGGGGCAAAAGGAAAAATTACTTTGACTATATATTGATACACTTTACTTACCAAATCATGCATGAGATTACTCTTTATAACATCCAGTTATGGGATACATTTGGGTAAACCAATGCACAACTGATTTGCAAATTATGAACTATATATCGCCCCCTGATTGACAAATGGGGGGGGGAGACCGTGACAACCCTGAGAAATTCCATCACTAGTCACCATTAGGAAATAATAGGAAAATAAATGTAATAGAAAGCATTGTAATATTCGATTTTCAAGATAATAAGAATCATATATGTTTACATTTATTTGCTAAAAACTGTCCATTAGAATCTAAAAATTAGCGACCAAAAAGTTGTGACGTTTTCCGATTCGGTTAACATACTTGGGTAGTACTCGTTAACGTGATCTCAATGATATAAGATTCGTAAAAATTCGACTCCGAAGGAGAGAGTTATGGATTTTATAAAAATAGAAATCAACCGCGTAGCTAAAATTAATTACGTCGAAACGGTACTTAAAGATTGGTTGAGTTTTGACTAAAAGTGCAAAAAGGAGTTTCGTAGTGCTCCTCGAGATATAAACTTTAGGAAAAAGTTTGTCGAAAACGGGATCTATATGAGTAAGTTATGATTTTTATAAAATCATTAATTCTTACCCCCGTTGGGCTTGAAAATGAAAGTCAAAACCGGCCAAAACAACCAAAAGGAAAGTTGTAGTACCTGTTGAGATCATCACATAGATATAAAGATGGCCTAGATTGGAGCACACATGAGGAAGTAATGATTTTTGAAAAATCTTTACTTGCGCGTCAAGTGTGCGCCATAAGAACTTTGTAGTTAAGCGTGCCCGAACGAAAGCAATTCATGGATGGGTGACCCCCTGGGAAGTTGTCGTGTCGGGAGTCCAAAGCGGACAATATTGTGATACGTGCCAAAGGGGGATGTTACAAATGGTATCAGAGTTGGGGCACGGGTCGATGTGTTCAACGGGGACGTCGAAATCTATAATGGAGGGTGAAGGCGGGCAGGTTAGCTGCACCTGATCTCGCATCGGTTGGGAAGGAGAACTAAACATTCCTTATAAGGGGTGTGGATATCTTCCCTGACACAACGTGTTTTAAAGCCGTGAGGGCAGCAGATCCCATAAGAACTCTGCAGTTAAGCGTGCTCGGGCAAGAGCAATCCAGGTATGGGTGACCCCCTTGGAAGTTTTCGTACCGGGAGCTCAAAGCGGACAATATTATGATATGTGCCAGAGGGGGATGTTACAAATGGTATCATAGCTAGGGCACGGGCCGATTTTTTCGCCAAGGACGTCGAATCCTATAATGAGGGGGGGGGGGGGGGGGTGAAGGTGGGCTGCACCTAGGGCTGTCAAATCGGGCAGTCGTGTCGTGTTTTTGCCTGACACGGCACGACAATGTTTTGTATAACACGAACACTACACGACATAATGTCGTGTTTTTTTAATTAACACGAAAACGAACCAATTAAAACACGAATACACGACACGACACGACAAAGATAATATTACATAACTATTAGTATATTTTGTTCATACTTAAAGATATATAACACGACAAAAACGAAAAACACGACAACCACATGCTTGAATCGTCTCAATTTCGTGTCGATTTATGAACACGAACTCGACACGACACGACATCATGTTTTTTAATCTTGACACAAAAACGACACGAACAAGAATTCGAATTTTGATTTCGTCTCGATTTTCGTTTCGTTTCGTGTATTTTTATCGTGTAGTGTCATAAATTGACACCCCTAGTTGCACCTGATCCCACATCGGTTGGGAAGGAGAACTAAGAATTCCTTAAAAGGGGTGTGGATACCTTCTCTGACACAACATGTTTTAAAGTCGTGAGGGCAACATATCCTATAAGAACTATGAAGTTAAGCGTGCTCAGACGAGAACAATCCAGGGATGGGTGACCCCCTAGGAAGTTTTCGTGTCGAGAGCCCAAAGCGGACAATATTGTGATACGTGTCAGAGGGGGATGTGACATATAATGTTAGGCTTAAAATATAGCGTGTATTCTTTTATGATTTTTCCAAATAAAATAGAATGCACACACACAATCGATGTGTGTGCTCGTGTGATAAACAACAAGAATTCCTTAAAATGGGTGTGGATACCTTCTCTGACACAACACGTTTTAAAGCCGTGAGGGCAACATATCCCATAAGAACTCTGAAGTTAAGCGTGCCCGGGTGAGAACAATCCAGGGATGGGTGACCCCTTGGGAAGTTTTCGTGCCGGGAGCCCAAAGCGGACAATATTGTGATACGTGCCAGAGGGGGATGTAACATATAATTCTAGGCTTAAAATATAGCGTGTATTCTTTTATGATTTTTCCAAATAAAATAGAATGCACACACACAATCAATGTGTGTGTGCTCGTGAGATAAACAACAAGAAGAGGGGGAAAGACCATTATCTCTCTATTTCGTCTGTGTGTATGTGTATGTGTGTATTTAGATATAGAGAAATTGAAGTAAGAAGAAATAGAGAGATGGAATAAAAAGAGAGCAGCGAGAGGAAGAAATAAGGGGCAACAACTTCGTTGTTGCTGCTGTTGGACCTGTGGTGGTGACACCACTGTAACTGGCGACTTGAGGCGATGGTGGCTGCTGACCGGAGGTTCTACTATGTGATGGTGGTTGTTAATGGTTGCTGGAAATCATGAAATTTATCCTCTTCACTTTTTTATTTTAGATTTCTTATTACAAGATTGAAAGGTATTTTTCCTAAACCTACGTACATTGTTCTTGAAAGAGATAAATTAGTTGGGATTAACTGAATGCATGTAAAATGTGGCTTTGGATTATGGGAATACAATTTATATTGAACATATAAACATCAATATTCAAGTGATTTTTTTTGATGATTTAAGTCTTACTGAATATGCTTTAAGCTCTTGGAATGCTTCAACTATAAGTTCAAAGTATTGAATTTTCAAGTCTACATAGATATTTTGTTAACTGAAACTTAAGAAAAAACATATTATAAACAAGTTAGAAACTATAAATCATGTTTGATGTCAAATTGGATGTTAGAAAGGAACAAAGACATGATAATTGATGACTTTAAAACTTAACAACTTTGACTTTTTCTGGCAAAGTCAAACATGTGAAGTTAAAATCAAAATTTTGTTGGAATATCATTGATATATATTGAAATTGGGCTTACTTTTAAGAAGTAATGATGGTAATGAGTTAGAAACACCAAATGATCAAGTCATTTAAGTCATTTAGTTTGGTATAATCATCTAGCCTAAAAAGGGGACACATTTGACTTTTGGTAAAAGTCTAACAAATTAAGAATGGTAATTTCATGTTGATGATTAAGAAGCTAAATGAAGTTTGATATTTGAAAAAAAAATATATTACATGATTGGGCTATATATCATTGAGTTAGAACGCTTTTATACAAGAAAATAGTTAACAGGTCAAAAGTGGGACAAAAGGGTAAAAATGTCAAAAATGGGTATTATGACCTTATGTTGCATATTTGGTTGTTGAAATGGACTTGAAATAATATTGGAAGGACTAGATTAATACAGTCATTAGTTTTATATGAGTTGTGAAGCAAGTGGTAAATTAAACTCAGTTACCAAAAGTATAGTTGGTTACCATTTGTGAGAAATTATGAAACAAATGGGTTAAGTTATACTTAGTAAATATATGAAATAATTGTGGGACATTGTATTGGTGAAAAGTAAAATTGTTGTATTGA